TGAAATGCAGGTATTTAATATGCACTCACAAATTTACCTCTCACAAAGTGAAAAGAAATGTTATCAAGTCTTTCTCAAGTGTGTCTTGATCATTTTAATTACACGTTGCATCATTAGACAGAATGAATGATCTTATTAGTTGATTTTCACATTATGCCACATGTCACTTGGACACAAGTAGGAAGGATTCACAATCACAATGTACTGTAAAAATAGACATTAGTGTAAAGTTTTAGTTCAAGAGTAAAACTTGATAATAGCAAGTCATGGTGAAGACTTTTATCAGACTCTTTTGCCTTCTGTTTATCTCTCTGGTCTAGAATATGCAACTTGGTCTTCAACATCCCAACATGTCAAGTCCATCTGGTTTTACTAATGAGATGCCAGGTATGTTCTTTAGTATGGTTTGTCACTTATGTTTATTTTCATTCACATTTCTTTCTTATTAACAAAAAACCTCAGACAGATGTATAAATATATATTTTTCTTTTTCATGACCGCCAGCATCAAATGATACTGTGGACATCCCATTGCAGGTATTTTTTTGGACTTTGTCCTTTGCCTCTCACAAAGCGTAAAAGAAGTGTAATCAAGTCTTTCTCAAGTGTTTCCTGATCGTTTTAATTACATGTTGCATCATTAAACAGAATGAATGATCTTATTAGTTGATTTTCACATTATGCCACATGTCACTTGGACATAAAGATTCGCAATCACAATGTACTGTAAAAATAGATATTAGTGTACAGTTGTGTTTAAAGAGTATAGCATAATAATAGCAAGTCATGGTGAAGACTTTTATCAGACTTGTTTTTGCTCTGTTTATCTCTCTGGTCTAGAATATGCATCTTGGTCATCAACATTCCAACATGTCACATCCATCTGGTTTCACTGCTGAGATGCCAGGTTTGTCACTTATGTTTATTCTAGGGTTTAACGCAGATTAGGGTTAGGGTTAATCTGCGTTAATGCGGATAAATCCCTTTTTAACGCGTTAACGCTGACAGCCCTAGTTTATTCTCATACACATTTCTTTCTTATTAACAAGAAACATCAGACATATATATATATAATTTCTTATTTTCAGGGCCGCCAGCATCAAATGATACTGTGGACATCCCATTGCAGGTATTTTTTATTTGGACTTTGTCCTTTGCCTCTCAGTTCTCAGAGTGACTTCATTTAATCAAGTCTCATTTTGATCAGAAGATACTTGAGAACAACAAAACCAACTTAAACATTTGTACGTAACCATTGTTATGTATAAATACATGTAATAAATTTTGTGCTAAAGAGGATGGATGTTTCCAATTTTTACATCCCTCAGAAATAAAGTAGACAAACCAAAAGCTGTGTTAAATTAAAAAGATAAAACATAAAAAAAATCATCCTAAACAATCAAAAGTATTCACAGTCAAATCAGATGTTTGTGTAGTTATATAGTTAAAGAGTAGAGACCAAATATATTTTCTTTTCTTTTTCCGACAGAATAATGTGAGCAGTTCTGCTAGAAATCTGACTGAAGATGAAAAAGGTGTGTATTATATATTATTTCACAGTCACATTCACATTTTTTTATTTCATGATTTTTAAATATACGCTGTTATTCTTCTTCATTTACAATCAGCAAAGTTTGTTGATAGAAACAGGAAAACGTTAATCCAAGAAGTTTCTGAAGTGCTGGCGATAGCAGATGAGCTTGGAGACCTGGTCCATCCTGAAGCCTATTCAAAGATTCGAGCTATACCGACAAGTCAAGATAAAATGAGGGAGCTCTTTCAAAGAACAATGCGTTCAGGAGGGCGGAGGGTCAAAGCAGCCTTCTTTGATGCCCTTAAAAAACATCATCCAGATCTAGTGGAGAGGCTTGGTATGATTTGCTCTTATTAAAAAGGTCAAATATGGTTTAACATGTATAACAAGTTAATAGTTTCTCCTTTATTTTCTGTAGATGGCTAGTTCAAAGGAAGAGAAAGAGGGGGAAAAAAGGAAGAAAAAGAAGAGACAGTGGTGTCAATCCTATAGTCATCCCATTTATTAGGGATGAGTTGGACAGCCTTATCAGGATCCTTTGTACAGATTTGTATACAAAGTGAATGACACCGGTTTCCTAGACAGACTCTCTTCGTTGTCCTGTTACTAAGAATCTTCACTCTAAAAGAAAGAGGGATGCGAGAGACAAATAAAAATCCAGCAAGCAAGAACACACCACACCTATTAACACCAGCTGAAACAGCAAGCCATCGTGGGATATGAGTGAATACTCCTCAGTTTACTTAAAGAAAGGGGTTTGCTTAATGCGTGACACAGATCATTGTCCTATTGTTCTTTGCAAGCACTAGTTTTTTGTGCTTTGAAAGGATTGTGTTGGACGTTAATAGTCTGCATTAAAAAAAAAATTTTAATTGGGCTTTTTAATATTTTACTGTTAAACTTTCTTACAAGGACCTGCATTTTTATCAACATGTTTAGACATAAAACCTAAAATTGATATGTATTTGCCTACTCAGTGGAATTGCTTATTTTCTACTCTATACACAGATGTTCTGCTGATTTTACTTTAAATGATCATCTGTCTCTCTGTTAATGATAATAAACTGGTGCTACCCATCAACCTCTTAGTAGATGTACATGTTCCAAGTCTGATTCACAAGATTTTGGAAAATTTGACCTCTGACCTTGACATCACATTCAAGGTTACTTAGATTTGAACTTTTGGTTGGTGAAATTATAGTATGAATTTCGAAATTCAAAAAGATTCTCAGAAAACTTGACCTCTGACCTTGACATCGAGGTCACTGAAATTAGAACTCTTCCAAGATTTTTAGTAGCTGCAACTATAGTTTGAATTTCAAAATATTATGCCACCTCATTCGTGAGTTATTGCATTCAGAAAACTTGGGTCACCACGCCATCCACCAGGGGAGTTATGACAATACCCCATCACAGGAGTGTGCGAGGGTGCAGCTCAAGAGTGAAGGAGTCTTTGCATCAACTACATGAACATTACTGACTCACACTGGAATAAATTGGCCGTGGATAAATCAATGAAATGTTTAAACCTAGTTGCATGGATCATAGTGTTAAAAGGGCAAAAGGGCTCTGCGTCAACCAGCAGAGCACTGAAAATCCCTTATTAGTCATTAAATCTTTGGAGTAGCATATGATTTATGTGACAGTGCAATGATCTTGTTTTTACTAGAAACAAACAAACTGTGAAGAACTTGACTCTCTTAGTCAAAAGCATATAACTCCAAAGTAAAGTCCTGAAGTAGAACAGTTTTTTTATTAGATGGAAATGATGCCCAGCTGAAAAATGTTGAAAATTCGAGTAACTAATGGGAATTTTCAAATCAATGGCTCCAGTAGGATAGACATGCAATTACTGGCACTTGTATCCACTTTTGAAAGATTGTTTCATTTCTCTGACCCACTACAGTGCTTCACGTTGTTACACCAAAACTACCAAAAATAAATGTATCCATATAAGTGACTGCCTATGACTGTTTTTCAATTTTTCTTTTATTTTTTCTTTATTATTAAGTCATTGACCGCCCTACAGATCATCATCTATACCCAGGGGATGCTATACCCTGTATTTACGGACTTCCAAAGATCAACAAAGAAGGGGTCCCACTCAGACCCATTGTTAGCAGCATAATCTCAGCTACCTACAACATTTCTAAACACCTTGCCACCATCCACCCTTGTGGGGAACACCCCCCCCCGCCATCACATCAAAAAACTCCACCGACTTCACCAACAAGGTCCAGAAACTTACAGCAGCAAACTTTGATACTCTAATTAAACATTTTTATTACGGTGGTTTGAAGCCTTAAAGGTCACGATTTCTTTACGTGTAAAGACGTGCATGCGTTTTTGTTTCGTTTTTGTCGAAAGAAAGCATTTTTTCAGCAAAATATTGTCTCTCAAAAAAGTTATAAGCAACTGTTCATACCAGTAATACTGTCAATACTCGCTCATTACGTTTAGTGTAAGCCCCGCCCCTTCACTACAGTTCGGGGCGTGCCAGGATACGAAAATGAAAGTCGGAACGTCTGTTGTTTTTTGTTTTTTACCACGGCTTTGGTTTGAACTAACTCTTAGATCTGCATGTGGAACAGCTTCAGGTGAGTAGCAGGCAGCCAGCGTTTTCCTTTTTTATCCTCTTTCCTTACAGATGCTTTAGCTCCAAATCAAACGACAGCTCCAGTTTGCAAAACAATACGCTACGAAAGGTCTCTCAGAACTTTTCTTTCTTTATTACTTGTTCACAACAGGAAGACCATTTCTCATTGCTCATTAATATTTTTTGTCATTTCCTTCCAAGCAATTTTTCAAACGTGTTAGAACATTTGGACACAGTATTATCAACGATGTAAATGGGTACTGTAAAAGATAAAGCGGAAGGGAATTCAAACAATTTGTGGAGGGGACAGCGGTCTGTCAGAGAAGTAGGAAGAGGAACACACAGAAGAGTGGTGAGGGTAGAGCCTTACTGGCTGTATAGGAGTTTAGTCTCCTTTTTTTCTTTCTAGCTTTGGGAAATTCAGAATCCAGAATTTCACAAATGTTGTGAGAAGTGCACCAGTATTGTTAAAAAGTGGAAAATGTGTATCAATGTGTTGCTTCCAGTTGCTTTCATGTTAGTGCAACAAAGACTTCTAAGGTGTTGTAAAAAATACTTACAAAAGCTGGGTTTATTCTCCTCTCTGTGTCATTTTATTATGTTTTAAGGTTTTGTACCTGAGTTCAGCAGGTGATGGAACTCGAGAGACCTAAATTTGAATCAGTTGAAACTGAAAACTTGGAGAAATGGAAGTTAATTGGCTTTGGTGGATTTGGTCAAGTCTTCAAAGCTAGACACAAGAAGTGGAGGTGTGACGTGGCCATTAAGCTACCTCGAGATGCTGATGGGTAAAATTGGAACAGAACAATTTTTTCTTTCTATACTTCCAAGTACATGAAATAGTCCTTTCCTAAAGCTTTTTACATTTTCCTTCCAACACTAGGGACATAGAACTGTGTGAGGAGGCAAATCATATGGCCCAAGTCTCCTTCCACAGTTCTGTGCTGAGGCTTTATGGAATATATAGTGGATATCCACCAAATGGAGGGCAGAAAATTCAGTTGGGAATTGTTATGGAGTTCATGGATAGAGGATCTGTTCAGACCCTGCTGGAGACTTTGTCAGGTCCACCACCATATCCTCTGGCCTTCCGCTTGGCCTACGAAATCGCTCAAGGAATGAACTTCCTCCATGAGAAGGGCATTTTGCACCATGACCTAAAGCCAAGCAATGTACTGCTGGATGGTGACCTTCATGCCAAGGTAAAGTGCTATTCACTCAACTCATTAGTTTATACTGATGTAATTGTGTTATTTTATTTTTTTTCCTTGATTATTTTGCAGCTGGCAGATTTTGGTCTGTCCAGGGTTTCCACCAGTGTTCTGATGAACTCCAAAGAAATGTCCACAGTGAAAGGAGGCACACCTGAGTACATGCCTCCAGAGTCTTTTGATCCATTATATGAGCCTGTTCGTAAATTTGACATATACAGGTAAACATTAAAAGAATAGTTGTGGGGATTTATGTATGATTATAGATTTTACCTTAAACACAGTGTGTTAATTCCTTCTCTTTCTTTATCTTGTAAAGCTATGGTATTCTTCTGTGGTCTATTATTTGCGGAAAAAAGCCTTTTCCAGGTACAATGAATGGATTTCATTTACTTATCATTTTCCATAAATTTCTCTATGTTTGTGTGTTTGTTTTTCCTCATAAGTTTCCAGTTTATTGGTCAAACAATTTTTGCCCTTCTTTTTAAAATTAAATTTTAATTTAGATTTCATGTTTTACAGCTAATATAAATATTATCAAGAAACATCCAAAAACACACTGTCTCATTTGTGCTCATGTTTTTTTTAATGAAAGTATTTGTTGCATTTCACACAGATGCTGATCCAGGTCTTGTGAAAGTGAGGATCCCAAAGGGGGACAGACCTCCCTGTAAAGAAATAGACCAGACAAAGGCAGAAGGGCTGAGAGAGCTGGTTGGCCTCATGGAGAGGTGCTGGGATGGAGATCCATCCAAGAGGCCAGACTTTGGAGGTATGTGTTAACTACCTGTATTAAACACTCTGTATTAAACAGCCCATTTTTTTATATGTGCATGAAACCACTAACAATTAATGAACTCTTTACTTTTCGTACATTATGCCTTTTAAACATGGACCATGGTTTTGTTTCAGAGTGTGATGAAATCACTAAGGATGTGTTCTCAAAGCACAGGGCGGGGATTCACCATGCAGTCGGACAAGTCATGAAAAAATTGGTGCAACTCACTTTATCATTTCAGAAATGAACTAATAAAGTAGTCAACAATTTCAATTTTAGAGGGAGCACTTTTATCAGACTTCTTTGGGTACTGTTTACTTTCCTAGGATTCACAACATGGTAATCAATATCCTGACACATGTGGTCCACCCGGTGTTAATCATGAGATGCGAGGTAGATTCTTCAGTGCGGTTTGTCACTTTATTCTCAGACTTATTTCTTTCTTAATAACAATGAACATCATACAGATATTTCTCTTTTTTTCAGGACAGTCAGAGTCAAATGATATTGTTGATGCAAGAACTGAAATGCAGGTATTTAATATGCACTCACAAATTTGCCTCTCACAAAGTGAAAAGAAATGTTTTCAAGTCTTTCTCAAGTGTGTCTTGATCATTTTAATTACACGTTGCATCATTAGACAGAATGAATGATCTTATTTGTTGATTTTCACATTATGACACATGTCACTTGGACACAAGTAGGAAGGATTCACAATCACAATGAGTGTAAAAATAGATATTAGTGTAAAGTTTTAGTAAAGAGTATGGCCTTTATGGTGTATCCTTTTATCAGACTTGTTTGTGTTCTGTTAATTTCGCTTGTCTAGAATATGCAGCTTGATCATCAACAGTCCAACACATCGAGTCCATCTGGTTTTACTGCTGAGATGCCAGGTAGATGCTTCACTATGGTTTGTCACTTATGTTTATTCTCATACACATTTATTTCTTAACAACAAAAAACATCAGAGAGATGTTTTGTATATCTATATATTATTTTCTTTTTCATGACCGCCAGCATCAAATGATACTTTGGACATCCCATTGCAGGTATTTTTTTGGACTTTTCCTCTCAGAAACTGAAAGCAAATAGTGTGACTTCATTTAATTAAGTTTCGTTTTGATCAGAAGACACTTGAAAACAACAAAACCAACTTAAACATTTGTTATGTATGAATACAGGTAGTAAATTTTGTACTAAAGAGGATGGATGTTTCCAGTTTCAGGCAAACCAAAAGCTTTGTTAAATTAAAAAGATAAAAAACAAAAAATCAGCATAAACAATCAAAAGGATTCAACATCAAATCAGATGTTTGTGTGCTGATATGGTTAAAAAGAAGAGACTACATAAATTTTCTTTTCTTTTGGCAGCAGAATAATGTGAGCAGTTCTGCTAGAAATCTGACTGAACATGAAAAAGGTGTGTATTATTTATTATTTCACATTCACAATTTTTATTCTATGATTTTTAAATACATGCTTTCATTTTCTTCATTTACAAGCAGCAGAATTTGTTGATAGAAACAGGAAAACGTTAATCCAAGAAGTTTCTGAAGTGCTGGCGATAGCAGAAGAGCTTGGAGACCTGGTCCATCCTGAAGCCTATTCAAAGATTCGAGCTACACGGACAAGTCGAGATGGAATGAGGGAGCTCTTTGATGGACCACTGCGTTCAGGAGGGCGGAGGGTCAAAGCAGCCTTCTTTGATGCCCTTAAAAAACATCATCCAGATCTAGTGGAGAGGCTTGGTATGATTTGCTCTTATTAAACCAATTTCAATATGGTTTAAAAGCAAAGCAATTAATAGTTTTTATTTTCTCCTTTATTTTCTATAGGTGGCTAGTTCCAAAGCAGTTGTGGCATTCCTGCATTTTATGTACATAAGGTCAAAGACTTCCTTTTTTGCTTTAGTGTTTCTCTTTTATGAAAAGCTAATGGAAATTATATCTTTTTTAAGCATTGTTTGATGATGTTTTGTTGCACTGTATTTGTTTTTAGAAACCATGACAGGGGGGAAAAGGGAAAAAAGAAAAGAGCAATCAGTGTCAGTCCTGTGCTTATCTGGGACTCATCATAAGCCTTTCATGTCACATATTAATTACGCCACCAATGCTCGGCTGCGTTGCTATGACTATGGCCATGCATATTAGGTGGCACTTGATTGCAATAGACAACCAGTTGATCCAAGTTCAGTCCTGGTGATCCGAGTAGGTACTAACGGAAAATGGATTTCAACATCCTTTTCAGAATCCTCCTGTAGATTTGTATACAAAGGAAATGACACCAATTTCCTAGAGGGACTCCTCCTGTCTTTCTCTCTGGACACCCAGTCACCATTGTTAACATACGTGATGTCCACCCAAACCTTATCATTCTCCCTCTCTGACTTTTCTGATTTAAGCTGATTTAAAACCAAGTTTAAGCTTAAATAGTGCTAAAGGCCTCAGACATGATTTAGATATTAGTCTTACTTTGCACTCTATACACAGATGTTCTTCTGATGTGACTGTAAATGATCACCTCTCTCCCTGTTAATGATAATAAACTGGTGCTACCCCTCAACCTCCTAGTAGATGTACATGCAGAGTCCCAGGTGTCTTTCTTCTTAAATGATGTGATTCACAAGATTTTGGAAAATTTGACCTCTGACCTTGACATTACTTTCAAGGTTACTTAGATTTGAACTTTTGGTTGCTGAAACTATAGTTTGAATTTCAAAATTCACAAAGATTCCTAGAAAACTTGACCTCTGACCTTGACCTTGACATCGAGGTCACCGAAAGTTGAACTCCTCCAAGATTTTTAGTAGCTGCAACCGTTGTATGAATTTCAAAATATTATGTCACCTCATTTTTGAGTTATTGCATTCAGAAACCTTGGGTCACCACGCCATCCGCCAGGGGAATTATGACAATACCCCATCACAGGAGTGTGCGAGGGTGCAGCTCAAGCGTGAAGGAGTCTTTGCATCAACTACGTGAACATTACTGACTCACACTGGAATAAATTGGCAGCGGATAAATCAATGAAATGTTTAAACCTAGTTGCATGGATCATAGTGTCATTAAATCTTTGGAGCAGCATGTGATTTATGTGACAGTGCAGTTATTTTGTTTTTCTTGAAACAAACAAGCTGTGAAGAAGTTGTAAACTTGACTCACTTAGTCAAAAGCATAAAACTCCAAAGTAAAGTCCTGAAGTAAAACAGTTGTTTTATTACATGGAAATGATCGGCCAGCTGGAAAATGTTGAAAATTCAATCAATTAGTGGGAGTTTTTAAATTAATGGCTCCAGTAGGATAGACATGCAAATCCTGGCACTTATATCCACTTTTGAAAGATTGTTTCAGTTTTCTGATCCACTAAAGTGCTTCATGTTGTTACACCAAAACTACCAAAAATAAATGTATCCATATAAGTGACTGTCTATGACTGTTTTTCTGTCTTTCTTTTATTTTTTCTTTATTAGCAAGCGTATTTTTGCATTCATAAACTCTGTTTCGTAAGCCTGAAACTCCTTGCAGTGCAGAACTGCTGGTCCAACATACAGTAAAATGTAAGATTGTCAGATAAATGATTGCTTAGAATAACTTTCATTGCCACTAAGTTAGAGCTCAGTTAGTATCATGTCATTTTGAAAGGGAAGTGTAATTAGGGGCAATAAATTTCATGGTATTACTCGTGCTGGATAATTCTGATGTATTGTGACTTACGACTTAATCCATTTGCATAGACTGGGTTGCAATTTTTTTACTTTGCACATATTGTCGATCACTGAAACATGTTTGAATAACCATTCCTTCGTTAAATCAAAGCTTAAGGCACTGGCTCAGAATGGGTATCCTTTTCATTTTTGCAGTTAATTGTAACAAAAAGTAATTAGCCATCAATGACACTCTGGATGCCCCTGCAGTTATCAGTGGGGTTCCAGTAAAAATAAAATAAAGAAATGATTTTAAAAAAATCTATAATTTCTAAATTTATAATATATATAATTCTTTTCAGGTAGAGACATCAGTAAGTTTAGAAATGAACACCACACAATGCCAAGTGTATTTCACCAGTGATAATTACTGTGAATCATTGTATGTATGAGCAGTGAAATTAAGAAATTTACAGTGTTTTAAGAATGTAGCTTTCATTAAATCCACAAAAACAACAGATTCCACACTTTCTGACTGTATTTTGAACTGATGCATAATTAATATTATTACAAAAGGCCAGAAGTTGCCTATATTTTTTAAAGGTCTTGATGCATGCTCGATCATCCAGGTAAGGACATTTTTCATTTTAATTCAATTCAATTCAATTCAATTTTATTTATATAGTGCCAAATCACAACAAATGTCGCCTCAAGGCGCTTCATAGATACAGAGAAAAGCCCAACAATCATATGACCCCCTATGAGCAAGCACTTTGG